AATAAAAAGAAAAATGTCTTTACTTCATGAAGACAAAATGGCGGCGAAAAAAAAATAGAGGGTTGCTGTAGCAGAGTTGGTTGCCAAATTTTCGCCAAAAAAATCGCCTGGTTACCATAATCCAAAGATCAACCAAATAATTTTACAATAAGTTTAAACATTTGCAAATTAAAATGAATTGCATTGAGAAATACGGTTAAAGTAGATTGAAGGGTGCCCCTTGTATTATCGCAAAGTTGTTGTTTTATTTATGGTAACCTGAGTAGCTGAATGATGTGGAAACCCTATTATGACGTAATCGATCGCGTGTTGCCATAAATTTTGAATGGCGGGAAATAGATTTGTAAGGGCTTGTGGTGCGTGTTGGTTAGGAAGTAAGGTAAAAATCCTAGGAGAGCGCATACCCTGTCGACAAACTGGGAAAGTGCACACTGCTTCACACGTTTCTAAAAATCCCAACTTGAAAATAACAAGTCAAAGAATTGCACAAATTCGGTATCCATGTTTCATCAACCTATTTCCACTTAAAAAACATCAGAGATTTGCACAAACTGGACATTGCACACTCCCTTGACTTTGTCCACATACACGTCGATAAGCGCCATAACTAAAATCATTGGTTCCAAGGATGTGAGCTCTGCTAGGATCAAACCAAGAAGTACATTGCTTGTTTTGTGGTTTAAGTGGTAGAATGGTTGAATGCTGTAAGATTGATTTGAATTTCTGTATGATTTGAAATGAAAGGGGAAAAGTGCATTAATCGACAGGTGTGTAAATGAAGGTTTACTTAGTAGCCATTATAATGTCCTGTTTGTAGGAAGGAAATGCGTATGGTTGAACATCTGAGGATATTTTTTACTCTTATTTTTGTGAATTTACGTGACAACGCTCATATACGGATTCTAGTTCAGATAATTTAAAGAAGTTTTTGGATGCTAATATTGTATGAATGAATTAACCTATAAAGTATCCTTAATAATATATATATATGATATTAAGATAAGAGATTTTATGAAAATTACCATGACAGTTACAGTATTTGGTTGATCTTTACATTATGGTAACTTGGCGTTTTTTGGCGAAAATTTGGCGACCAACTCTCCTACAGCAACCCTCTATTTTTTTTTCCCGCCGCCATTTTGTCTTCACAAAGTAAAGACATGTTTCTTTTCTTTTTATCTACTGAACACTTCTTCCAACAATCTACTAGCCGAATTACACTTATGACTAGAAATTTTATCAAACAAAACTGTTTAATCATGACAAATATTCACTGCAAAATTGGGAAAAAAAAGTGCACAATACCATAACTCCTTACGCGTTTTTCAAAATAACACATACATATAAACCATGTACACGCCGACTTATTTTTACTTAAAAAAACATCCCAGAATTGCACAAAAATGGCATTGCGCATTATCCATGACTAAGGCCAGAAGCAATGGCTTCTTTATTATGCAGGCACCTAATAGGTGACTACCATTGCCTCCTATGAACTACATCCATACCTTCTCCGGGATTCGCACACTCTTCACTATATCCATGTACACTACTTTTTTCTCATAAATTAGAAACATTTCACGAAAATACATGACAATTTTCGGAATCTTTAAACCGGGAAAAGAACAAATATGAAATACCTGATCGCGAAAAAAAAAGTATTTACCTTTCCAAATATGAACATTTCCACATATAAAATAAATAAAATATCCAAAACTTTACCTCTAAATCATCTATTACTTATATACGTCACCAACGGAATTCATACCGCAACCATTACAAATACTTAGTGTCAGATATTTAAATTATTTCCATGCATGTTTACTTCAACTAAAACGTATACCAAATTCCTACAAACATAAAATTCACAAAATAACTATAATTTAATTAAAATAATCACTAAACCATGTACACGTCGACTTAATTTTACTTAAAAAAACATCCCAGAATTGCACAAAAATGGCATTGCACACACTCTTCACTATATCCATGTACACTGCTTTTTTCTCATAAATTAGAAAAATTTCACTAAAATACATGACAATTTTCTCAATCTTTAAACCCGGTAAAAAAAAACATATATGAAATTACCTGATCGCGAAAAAGTATTTACCCTTTCCAAATATGAACATTTCCACATATAAAATAAATAAAATATCCAAAAACCTTTTACCTCTAAATCATCTATTATTATCACGTCACCAACGAATTCATACCACAAGCATTACAAATACTTAGTATAAAATATTTAAATTATTTCCATGCACGTTTACTTCAACTTAAACGTGTACCAAATTCCTACAAACATAAAATTCACAAAATAACTATAATTTAATTAAAATAACACTAAACCATGTACACGTCGGACTTATTTTTACTAAAAAAAACATCCAGAATTGCACAAAAATGGCATTGCGCACACTCTTCACTATATCCATGTACACTGCTTTTTTCTCATAAATTAGAAAAATTTCACGAAAATACATGAAATTTTCTCAATCTTTAAACCGGTAAAAAGAACATATATGAAATACCTGATCGCGAAAAAGTATTTACCCTTTCCAAATATGAAATTTCCACATATAAATAAATAAAATATCCAATAACTTTTACCTCTAAATCATCTATTACATTATACACATCACCAACGAATTCATACCGCAACCATTACAAATACTTAGTGTCAGATATTTAAATTATTTCCATGCACGTTTACTTCAACTAAAAGTATACCAAATCCTACAAACATAAAATTCACAAAATAACTATCATTTATTAAAATATAATTAAATTCAAAAACACTACTTAAATATAATGAGCACATACATTAAATTATACATACATAAATACCATTTCGAATTCACTTTAGTTCGGCCATGGGATCCAAAAATTCCCGAACTGTTTCACACAACACAGATAAACCCAATATAAAAATCCAGATTTTTCCTGATTCCCCTCTTTTCCGATTAAAGACCGTAATTCATCCATTAATATCACATGACATATCCCATATCTCTCATTTCCCTACACAAATAATGCGTAATCGGAACTGAGTACTGCTCACATTATTACCAAAGTCCCAGGTAGTAACCTTTATCGCCTCCAAAATGTCGACAAACTACCAGTTACCATATTGTAAAGATCAACCCAGTATTTTTGTTCAAAAGCAGGCTCTAGCCATTTATACGCATTATCCATGACTAAGGCCAGAAGCAATGGCTTCTTTATTATGCAGGCACCTAATAGGTGACTACCATTGCCTCCTATGAACTACATCCATACCTTCTCCGGGATTCGAACCCATGCCCTTCAGCACAGCAGTAAGAGTCATTAATCACTTTCCTGTCTGGACAGCACATAGTTACAGTATTTATTCATATCAAAAACAGTCTAGAACTAAAAATCTTGGCTATTCATATTCTAATAAAACAAGGTATTTTCCATAAACAATGAGAAATAAATATTGAAATTTAAGTTAAATTTATTTATAAGCCTATTAATTGGATATTTAAGAAGGAAATACATGCATCCTTAAAGTTAGCGGAGACGAAAGTATCCCTACTACAGTGATGTTGCGAACTGCGAGCCGAGGCCTTGAGTTAAGTTCGAAAGGATGCTAGTATAACACACACCTATAATTTCAAATTACATTTTAAAATTTTCATATATATTCACCTTATGATTACATACTTTTTTTTTAATAAAAAAGAGAGATACATGTGTGATGCTCTTATCTTTTAAAGTCATTTACTCGACAATTTTTCCCAGACTTTCCCAGGAACAACGCTATACTAAATTGAAAGCCATAAGCGGAACAATATGTGTGTGGGGAAATTGCTTGAGGTAGTGAATAATTCTGCACAGGTGGTGGATGATATTCAATGTAGGTGTGCACAAGAATGTTATTCTGGGGTTTCGAGAAAAGAGAGACAATTTCGGATGAGAATGCACTTCCGACGCGAATGAATTCGCAAAATTGATAGTCAGATATGTTCTCTGAATGAATGAAAGCAAGAAATGCTTTACGTAAAGGAAATTATCTGATAATTAAAAATTATCTGGTAGTGAACATTTTTAAGTTCATAAGTTGTGTAATTTCTTTCAAACAAACAGCATTTAAGTATATGCAGAAATCTAATACCTATATGCTCTTCATTTCGTTATTTTTAAATGTATCATTTTTATACCCAGCATATAACTCACACCCATAGATTTCAATCTTATTTTTTTGTATTAAAAGTATGCATTATACCCCGGAATATATGGTAACCAGCAGTGCAGTTATCACATGCGCACATATGAGAAATGTTTACAGTTCTGCATATTTAAAATACACAGACTTTAATTATTTTCTCGTATCAGTACAAAATTATAACAGAATATAACATATTATGTTACATCATTCTGTTATCAGTACAAAATTATAACAGAATATAACATATTTTGTCTATTTAACGGAATATAACTATTCTATTTGTATATATTCTGTTATAACAAGTTTTTGTACTGATAACACTACAGTAGTATTAATCAATTTTTAAATTACGTATAATTTTTACACAACAGCAACCATAACACTACATTGAGTTGACAACTTGCCAACATTCTGCCGGTCGCTGCGTAATCTAAAGAACGTGCCAGTAATTATCATTAACAAGTTAGCATAGGGTAATATCTCTTATTAATTTGTTTCAGCAAAAAAGGGGGGAAAGAATGCCTTTAGTGATAAGAAGCAGGAAATGCGGAATGAACACGTATACTATTTTAATGTTCAAGCAATTTCATCAACTGACAACCTAAAAAGTAGCAATAAAATCCTGGTTTAAATATAATCTAAAAACTCAGATATTTTACAAACAATTCATTTATGTACAGAGAATCAAATTTACAATTTTGTTTAGATGCGATGCATACCACCCCTCTAACAGAAAACGTATAAAAAAATTACATCGCTTATGAAGAATGATATGAAATACAAGACTCAACACATAAACTATTACCTTATCATTCTGCAAACAATCAAGAACAGCAAAATTATTATTTAAAATACTAGCGGGACAAATTCGTCTAATATCGTCTGTACATTCCGGAGTCTCCGCTAATTTAATCCTTGGTGTCTGAGTTGTAGATGCTTTGAAGCGAGGCTTTATATTTGGCAATTTTACATCCCTAGGCAATATATTTTTTACAGGAACAGAAGATTCTAACGAGAATACAGTTGAGAACAATGTAAAAAGTCCAATATAAAACATGACATTTAATTTCACACTCCTCATTAGTTTGTCATCCATCCTGAATAAGTAGCGTTGAGACGTCTAAGAGTCTCCTAGTTTAATATGAGGAACACCGGCATACGTTTCTCTCATGCATATAAAAACATATGGTACCGTTTGAACATGCGCCGTTGACTGTAATTTGAAGAAGCAATTAATAAATTTCAGAATTCTAAGAAGAAAAACTAGAATAGACAGGAGTAATTTTGCAGAAATATCGCTTAAAAATACTGTCACATATTATTTATTACACATATTTCTTATTTAAAAACAAAATAAAAAAAGCTGACGTAGAACGATTTAAATTTGGGGTAAAGTTAGGGGAACAATTATGGTGGCGACAATTTAGCTCCTTTTAAGAATATTTTCGACATTTTATTATGCCAACAGATAAGCAAATATTAATAAATAAACAGCTAAGGTGATGATATTTTGTGAACAAGCTGCCCGATTTGCTACTACGAAAAATCTCTCAGTAGGGAAAAGCAGCGGTTCTTAGCCTTTTCAGAACCTCATTGAATCTGAAAATAAGCTCTCCTGTTCCTTAAAATATGTATGCATAATTTTTATTTAAGAAAAAACATTTAATGCATAAACAAATGCTGCATTATTTACACTATATCTTACTACTACGAGTATATAACATAAAAAGCAATATTTAGATTTTAATGGCTAGGTTATTATTGTTTATTCATAAAAATTCTATTAAAACGAGGCTCTTTTTTTAAAACAGCCACGCGTAAATTATCAGATTCATTTAAACAATTCCTGGCTTCTATTTTGATGTGCAAAACTGCTGAAAATCCCATTTCACTAAGGTAAGTGTGGTAAAAGTGTGTTTAGTATTGCTTTTGATTGTTGTGAATATGTTTCTGAACAGAACGCAACTTATAATCATTTGATTCAAACGACACCAAATTTGCATATGTAAGATAGATGCCATTTACATTTCCTTTATTTATGTGCAAAACTACCTTTTTCTCCCAAGTTTAACATTTTATGCAATTTATTAATAGTTCTTCTGCCTATAGACTTCTCGCTCCAGTCTTAGAGTACAGAACTAGTCTTAGAGAACAAAAGAAGGATTTAAAGCACTGTGATTTATTCATTACAAATCAATTTATTCATTACAAATGCCCAGAATATTGGCTATGACGCCATTAGATCTCTAGCTTTACAATATTTCTGAACTTTACAGTTTAAAAACACAAGTGCAGAATCAAGATGAGTAGCATAAAAAATTTGATGTTGTCCGCACACAGGACATAAGGGAGAGTCACATACCCCAAGCCAATACAAGTATTTTGAACACCAGTAAAAGTATTCAAGTGAAAAATTCTAATTTTAAAGTTATTTCTAGAATACTCTGTGTACTGTTAGACATCTTCTTCCAGGTTCTTAAACAGAAACTTCCGGTTCACGGCGTAGAACAAAAACAGCCATAATACTGCTTCTAAAGACCAAAGAGACAAATTAAAAGTAGTTTTGAGAAGCTTTAAAATAAAGTAATAACTGTTTTTTCAAAAATTTTATCAAAATTGACGATTAGAACTTAGTCGGATAAACAAAAACAAAATTCAATCCAAATAACATTTCGGTTTAAAAATTTCAAGTGTTTATCTCTGGACGCTTTCTCTGAATGGAAATAATATACACAGGAGGCTGAGAGATAAGACCTCTGAATACTATGTTCAGCTCAAGTCCTTGGAAAGGCCTTATTGGAATTTTTATAAGTTTTCCCATTTATAAGGCAAAACCCACCGAGTTTCTTTTTGAATTTCCCTGGGAATCCCGCAACTAATGCCATGTCTGCTTACAGCTCATGTGACAAGCTGTCACGCCCCTTTCACCACCAGCTCATGCCCTCTTAGATCTATGGTTAGGACTCAGTCTACATTCTGCGCACTTTGTGCAATCACTTGATGACAGCCGGAACAAAACTTGCATTTTGCTTGATAATCACGGCAAAAGAGGAACTTGGAGTTTTTTTTTTTTTTTTTTTTTTTAAACTCCCCGTATGCATCCTCTTCCTCATGGACAGTCATCGCGTGCTTTTCCACAATGCAGTAATCCTTAATTATCAATGTAAAAATCAGTAAATAAAAATCTGACGTGGACACCGCATGACTTTCTAGTAATACCTATTAAATTATACACAATTTAGCTACAGTTCATTTAAACTTATTTCCTCGAATTATTCTAACTTAATTAACCTATGTCTCAAGCCAAGTTGAAAATGACATCAAAAATTGCAAATTTTGAAATTAATTTTTTAAGGTTATTTTAGGTTTATTTGAGTATGGCAAAGCACTCGGGGGCTATCTGTCTAACAGAAGAGATGCCGTCATGAAAATCTCTAAGGCTCATATCGCATGGGGAAAACCACGAAAACGCCCAGGTAGACAGTACGCTAGCGGGATTCTAACCTTAGACTGAACTACCAGTGTTCAGGGACTTTACCGTTCGGACACTGATGGGCTCTTGAAATTAAATATCCTATATATATATATATATTCTAAATATAAGTAATTAAAAGTGAATTAAAAGGCCTCTAACTTGCGCTAAAACTGCAGAGTAATAATTCAATTTAAATCTATGAATTAGGAAAAGAAGTCAGTATTTTAATTAGTATTTTCTAGACCTCCTTTGCTTTAAAAACATAAAAGTCTTCAAAGAAAAATCTTTAATCGCAAAAAATACCAAAATCAAAAGTAAAAATTTTAAGTATAATAAAAGTAGCTATTGTCATTGATCACAGATTAATCGATTTATCATTGGGAATAAACTAATTTACTATCAAGTAATAACAACTAAATTAAGAGCGAGTGTTTCGTCTTACTTTTCCAAGTAAGCATCAAATATTTTGCTACATCCTAATCATAAGTCACAAAATAACACTCAATCAAAATAAAGACATTAGTTCATTTAAGCTGAAAAAATCCTGTTAAAATAAATAACAAATAATCTTTAAAGTTGCTCATTAAGAACATCACTTTAGAAGATATATCCTCGACACTCTCATTTTCAAACTCAAATACACAAATAAAAACAAAAGCATACGTTTAAAACATTAAAAAGTAATTCAAAATCTTAAGAAGATCAAACATAATATAATCCTTAAAATTAAAGTTTAAAACAATGAGTTAATTAGAAATTTAAAGATCAAACTAGAAAGTAATTAGGATATAGCAAAAAATTCGATGCCTACTTTGGAAGTAAGACGAAACACACTCTCTTAGTTTAGTTGTTGTTAATTGATGGTAGATTGGTTTATTCCTCTTGGTAAGTTGATTAATCTGCAATCAATGACAGTAGCTATTTTTCCTATACTTAAAATTTTTACTGTTTATTTTGGTATTTTTGCGCTTAAGATTTTTATTTGAAGATTTTTATGTTTTTAAAGCAAAGGATGTCTATAAAATACTAATTTCAAATGCTAATTAAAATACTGACTAAAAATGTTTTTCTTTTCCTAATTCATGGTTTTAAAGTGAATTTCTGTTCCTTGGAGTTGGTATGCAAAAAAGAGAAGTGCACAAGTAGACGTTATAGCAATTGCATGTACAAAATGTCAATGTTCTGTGGCTAATCGTTTTTGAGTTATGCGAGACGCATACGTATGCACAGACGTCACGAAAAGAAATCCATCTTGAATCAATATTACAATCCGTTTTGGAACAAAGAGTCCTTTATTCTATCTGTACGTACAGACATCAGCCCCGCCCAAAATAGTCAAAATGGAAACGGGAATGGTTAAAATGGATATGTCGATTGAAATCTGAAACCCAAGATTTTATTCTTTTATTGATATAGAAGATAGTGCCCATGATAGTGTTTGCACTCAAGATAATATTTATATCAATTAAAATATGTTTTATACGGTATTAGAGACGCACAATTCTATAAACAATAATAACTTTATTTGCAAAATGTTATTAAAAAGTACACATTCGTTAAAGCTTTCACTTTGTTACGTTTACGAGCAATGCACTTTGATAATATTGAAATATAATTTGATAATAATCATTCACTTTGTTACGTTTATGAGCAATGCACTTTGATAATATTGAAAATATAGTGAGCTTCGTTAAGTCAAAATAGTTAATATCAGTTAATAAGGTAGATCTAATTAGAAGACAAATTAAAATAAGTTAAGCTTTTTGCAATTTCATTTAGATTTCTGAGAACAAAAAGTTAAATTTCTAATTATTTCTTCTTACATAACTTTTTTTGCACTTATTACGTGCTCCGCCCTTGGGCACTACAAGGAAAGGGAGGGATGCCCCGTGGAGGTCTTATTAAGGAAAACTGGCTCGTATCCACGTTACACACGGGGAAAATCACGAAAACGCCCATGCGGCCTGCCCCTTCGCCGGGACTCGAGCCCCGGACCGAACTACCAGCGTTCAGCGGCCCTAACCGCTCGCGGGCCTATTTCTTACCTTAGGCGATGAGTATTACACTTTTCTGTATGTTAGTTTACATAATGAACCGATATTTCTTGCAATAAATAGATACCTTTAAATTTGTTTATAATAAAGTTAAAAAAATACAGAAAATTCCTCGATAATCATTTGTATCTGTTTTCCATTCATGATAATCTAACTTCAACCCGTGTTACCTTTATTTATTAAATATTATGTTTGCACTTAAACCATAAAATTCAATTCAATAGCAATGTCGCAAAATAATTTAAAAATGAGCATATCTTTAGAATTTCTGATACACAGTTCTGTGCGCTGGAGATAAAAGAATTCTCCCCCCCCCCGTAGTGTGTTGCCATTGCTCGCTTTTAATTTATATGAAATTGAAATTAATATGAAATTGATTAAAAACAAAATCCAAATTTCTATTTGTTCTTCCACATGCCCATATTCGTAGCAGGATTACATCATCGATGGCTCTGTGCTTCAACGCTCTTTCTGTAACATATCGAAACTGGAGAAATCAAAAGAATGGTATGTACGACTTGTAAAGCTTCTTCGTGATTCGGAATGTTATGGTCTGAGTTTTCTTCTTTCCTCTGTATATTTAAGTGGTATATTATAGTGGTTTTA